ATATGTCACTGAAGCATTTTTTTCACATATTTAGGTTTGGTCTTAAAATGACAATGAGCGCTCAACACTGTAAAAAGCTCACTGTGTGTGAGTTCCACATAATTCCTTTATGTTTTCCCAACACAAATCGATAAGGTTAACTTAATTTTGGCTAATTGTTTTAGCTAGATTGAACATATATCAATTAAGTTATCCCCCCAAAAATTCAAGAATTGTGTTAATTTAAATTTTAAATAAGTAGTTTAAATAAACTGTGTCAATGTGTAAATCATAGGTCTCAAACTAAATTCCTGAAGTGCCGCAGCTCTGCACAGTTTTGCTCGAGCCCTAATCAAACACAGCTGATCCAACTAATCAAGGTACTAAGACTACTAGAGACTATGGGTGCTTTCACAACTGTGAATCGATAAATTTCTCCGAAATAGGGATTAACATTGTTACATTGTTTATATTTGTTCTTGGTGTGGTTCGCTTTCACACGGCAAAGTTTCTAAACGGATCAGAACAGCTGAAACAAGTCATGTGTGAGTAAACTCTCCTCACATTGGTCAGAGTTTCACGGTTTATTTTGCAGAGTCCCGCTCAGCTGGGGTGGGGTGGTTTGAAGAGCGAGGAGGGATGCGGTGAGAAGGGTGTGCGATGTATTTAAGAACCGGGAGTGAGATGTGCGATTTCCGGGAGATTATCACTCGTTTGCTGGCATCCGGGAGTCTCCCGCAAATGCACAGAGACTCCCGGTTGCCCGCAAAATAAACTTCCGGGAGACTTGGGATGTCTGGAATGACCTCCCGCCCTACTCATAATTTTCTCTTCATATAGCTGTATCCGATTGCTGGATTCACATATGCCAAACAAACCGCACTAACTGGGCAAACGAGACAGCTTCCAAAACAAAAGTCTAGGCGTGAAAGCACCCTAAAAAGCAGGTGTAAGCTGGAGATGGTTGGAGCTAAACTGCAGAGCTGCTGCCCTCCAGGAGTTGAGCTTAAGACCACTGGTGTAAATGAACTTAATGTGTCATTTTCTTTTGTGTTCTGGACCAAATAAAAACCAAGAGAACCAAGCTAAAAATATGACCACAGACTGAACCCCAGCTCTGTTTGCTGATGTTGTAAATGAAGCTGTACTAAACTTGGCTGAAAACTTGTAGTGCTGCTGCACTAGTATAACGTAATCAGTGTTTATCCTCAGTTTTGAAGAAGTCTTTTCTGTTGCTCTGTGACTTTATACCCCCCACCCCACCCCTTTTTTTTGGCTGGCACTGCTTTCTATCAAAGCTAAAATCTTTCATACGCACTCTACGTCAGAATTGGTCTGTTAACAATTACTAAGCAGAAGGCTTTGGGGACTACTTGGCAGTTCATGTAAAAATCCCTAATTGCATTACGCCCCTGCACAACGGATGGTAAATCAGATTTCTCCATGCAGATTATATCTCTCCTCCCACAGAGGATGCCTGAGAGGATGGCTGGTATTACGCTGGCATGGCGTGGCATAATACAGGACGTGTTTAGGTTTGTGTACCCAGGCAGCAGAATTGGCACATGCTCGATGCCCCTAAAAGGAGACCCAGAGTCTGGAATTTCTGATGTAGCCTTGAAAAGGTGCCAGGCTTTTCCAGCGTACACACAGACTGCTGTGAGGAAACCTTGGTGGAGCCATTTTGCAAATGTCGCCCTTGAGTGTTTTTCACTGATTACAGTAAATCCAATTGAACATTCAGATTAAGAGTTTATGATTTATTTAGAAAAACACAGTTGAAATCCTAAAATATATACAGCAAAGATAGAAGATAAGACAGCTCTTGATTTATTCATCAACAAATTACAAAGATATGCGTGAATGCTTATAAATGAAGAGTCATCTAAAAGTCCATCACGGGATATCCAGTAGTTAAAACTGTAACCTTTATTTGTGATGGAACTTTTATTGCTAGTCTTGTATTGATGGACAGGGATGCTGCATTTCTCTTAGATGGGCAAATTGAGTTAGGGATCCATTAGTGTGGATGAATCTGGAAAGACTCAAGGCTTTTAACAAGATGGATTGTTGGAGCATGGAATCGCCTTGTGGTGATGCATGTCTCCATGCAGCCCTCAAAGAGCAGCATCATCTTTGTAGGAATTTATACGACACCATTTAGTCTTTAAAACACTATGAATGAGTGAAGACCTCAGCATATATTCTGCCTCTGATTGGCTCCTGTCTTGACTCCCACCATTAAGAATTTATTTTCCACTCTGATTTCACCTTTGGGCCGTTCCAGAGAATAAGAGAGCAGCAACTACTGAAGAGGTGGGGATAAAGATAGTAATGCCTCATCCGATTGAACAACCAATGCATAAAATAAATGTAATTTATCACACATGTTATTTAGATAATGTTATCGCAATGACGATAATTTTGATATATATTATACAACCCTAATCACATTTTGCACTGAAAAACAGAAGAAAAAAAAAACGCTTTTTTGTGTTTAGTACATTTATTTAAATGACATCAATGGTTTGTGGCTTTGTAAATGCTCATTTCAAAGCCTTCTCAAAGTGTATGTTTTGATGGAGTCTCTGTGTAAACTTTAAAAAGGAAAACAGTGATGTCATATAATATGCATGTGTGTTATGTCAGTCTATAGGTATGCAAAAGTACATGACTGTACTAATGCAGGACTATACATTAGTACTGTCATTACTTGTACATGCCTGTAGACTGACATAACACATATGGCATCACCACTTTCCTGTTTGAAGTTTACATGGAGACTATTTCAAAACATACAGGGCTGTACATGAGTGTAAATGCTAAAACATACAAGACTGTACAAAAATCTTGTTGCCTTTCCAAGTTTTAGGAACAACAAATAATAGCTTGACTTCTAGTTGATCATTTGGTATCAGAAGTGGCTTACATGAAAGGCAAAGGCCTCTAGATTACACTTATTTTAACTAAATAAAGGATGATCATGCCTAGATTTTTAATTATTTAATTAGAAGATTAAGGTCTGACTTTGCTTTGGCAAAAATCTTGTCTCTTAAAAGAAATAATGTTCAGTATAGAATATAAAGTCATGGTGCAGTGGAAAAAAGAATGAATATTGTGTATGACTCCCATGAGCTTGGAGGAATGCATCTACACATCTCCGCAATGACTCAAATAACTTATTAATAAAGTCATCTGGAATGGCAAAGAAAGCATTCTTGCAGGAATCCTAGAGTTCATCAAGATTTTTTGGATTCATCCTCAGTGACTCCTTCTCCATCTTACCCCAGATATGATAATGTTTATGTCTGGTGTCTGTGCTGGCCAATCCTGGTGCACCTTGACCTTCTTTGCTTTCAGTAACTTTGATGTGGAGGCTGAAATATGAGAAGGAGGGCTAAGGTTTGTAATGTAATGGGCAACACTCTGCAGATCTCTCTCACACCCACATACTGAACGTAACCCCAAACCATGATTTTTCCTTCACCAAACTTGACTGATTTCTCTGAGAATCTTTGGTCCATGCAGGTTCCAGTAGATCTTCTGCAGTATTTGTGATGATTGGGATGCAGTTCAACAGATGACTCATCAGAAAAATGTACCTCCTGACACTTTTCCAAAGGATCAACTTGAAGTCAAGTTGTTATTTGTTGCTCTTACAATTAGGATTGTTGACAAGACTTTTGTCAGCTAGAGTAGTTTTCATTAATCAATTGGTAATAGGGTGAATTGTACATAAAATTAAAATGTTACCAAAAGTTTTTATGCAATAAAATAGTACCTTACAATATTACATTTTTTGTGCAATTTTGATCAAATAAATGCAGCTTTTTAAGCACAGAGGTCTGGCCACATTCAATATTGCTCTGCAAAATTTTGCAAGCAAAACTCAATAATGCCAGTCAGAATTTGCACAATTAAAGGTCTAATGAAAATATTTTTTTAAATAAGATGTTCGTTTTAGTCTGATTTAAGGACTTCTGTGTTTGTGTGCTCCAAAACAGTGACAACATTTTTCCACATCATCTCATCCTTCGGTTTCTTTCAATCTTACCATTCAGATGCTCTCTAGTATCTGACATCCCCCGCCCACGTCAAGACGCTTCTTTTTTGCTTTTCATTTGATGTGTTTGATCTTAACCACTCTAACCTGCAAAGCAGTAATAAAAACAAAACGCTATTGGCTAATTTTTTTAAAGGGGAGGGGCTACTCTGTCCCACCCTCTCTTAATTTTTCAGTTGAGATTACGTCAAACATTGAATAAAAAGTGCTCATTTCAAAGCACTTCACAGGACCTTTAAGTGTTTCACATATGGACAAAAAAAGTTATCATGATGATTTCAACCTGCTTGCCTTGAAATCGGATTTGATAGTATACTATATATTCAATAATAGACATCTCAACTTTTTAAACAATGAACAGTGAGCCTTTCTGCATGCAAAATGTTGCTGAAAGTTTTAAATACTGTATTATATTTAACCTATTAGTATGTTTATTATATTTTTTAAGTTTAAAAAGTCAGTATCTGTTTAACAACTCAAACAGAATTGTACTTTTTTGAAGAAGTGCACTGACTTTTTACAATGCCATAGACACTTCTACAGACCGTGAGTCAGTCTTGTGTGCTTGGTTGAGAACTGAGTCTGGATGCCTGCTGGTTGATATAGAGAGTGGAGAATCAGACCTAATAAAGACATGAGCTCTAGTTTATTGAGTTCAGAGCCGCAGGGCATGTTTGGATTTGCTGCACTCCACATCACATCTCAATAAAAAAAAAAACAGACCTCCTTGAAGCTTCAGAGCGGTTACCGCCATCCTATGCAATACACTCCAGATCTTCCTGTTTTTAACCAGTTTGCATGAACAGGCCTCCTTTTCTTCTTTTTTTCCTTTCATTGTTCTGGCATTACATTCTTATGATGAATTCATGCATAAGCGAGGTCAGCAGTGCTCTGTATGTGACATTGTGGATTGATTTCATGATAAATGACGTCTTTGTTTTGATGGGATGTTGTGTAGGGTGTACCAGCGGCAGGGAAGGCCAGAGAAGGCCCTCAGCCAGTTTGAAAGAACCCTGGAGCTGCTTCATCAGGAAGATCAGCTCAGTCGAATCTGCTTTGTGTATAGAAACATGGCAGCCATTGAACAGACTCAGGGGCATCTGGATAGTGCCATTGAACATCTCCTGAAGGTAAACATTAATCCTGAATACATGTCATTTATTAATTTCCTCCAACCAGTGCCTTTAGATTACACATAAAGTATAAAGACAAGTATTTAAAAATAAGAGGAAATCACTATCCTACATTGATTTTCTGAAGATGCCCACAAAAATATGATTTAATGTAACAATAGTTTATACCAGTGGAGACCAAACTTTTTCAATATAGTCTGAATGAAGAGCCAAAAACCAAATATCTCTTAGAGCCGTGGACTGAAGGGTAAATAAAAGGGTTATGTTCATTTAAATTGACAATCTCAAAAGCATCCTCATAATTCTTCCTTGCTTCTCAGATAGGATGGCGGGCCAAATCAAAGGTTTCCATGGGCCAACTTTGGCTCACGGGCCCTACTTTGGGCATATCTGGTTGATACCAAAAGATCTTGTCAGACATACTTGTCAGGCGTATTTAGATCAAGAATTGTTTGGTACCATATACTGTTTATGGCTCACAATGTAGCTCCAATATAATAACTAATTGTCATATAAATCTTCATACCATGCCAGAATCCTTCAAACTGATAGGCTTACCTATTTATTCAATTATTTGTAATATTATTTAGTATACTCACTTATTTTGTTATGGATTTTAATAAGTGCTTTTGTACTTATAAGTAAGTCATTAATAAAGTCCTGAAAAATCTGTCATAATTATTTTAAACATTAGTTAAAAAGAAAGTTTTAAAAATTATTCAAAGCACAACATCCAGTAATAAATGCATTGCAATCACATAAAAATATACATATTTAAATTGTGCTATAATAGAGAACAGTTATTTTATATTTAAACTCTTTAGCAGGCATCATAACCACCTGGTTGACCTTTTATCTACAGGTTATTATTATTATTATTATTTTAATAGCTTATTACTATTTATCAGAGTTGTGTCTGCCTATTATTTAATACAAGATGTGGGCCAAAAAATATTTTCAGAGTGCATCTCAAAGGGTTAATATCTTAAAATAATGCATTTAATCAAATAAGCGAGCCTTAGTGAGCAAAAAAACTTCTTTCAACTTTAAAAAGTCTTGCCAACCTCAATCCTTTTTTTGAACATTAGATTATAAAATATTAATTAAATGGCAATACTAGTAGCAAATAAAAAGAGAGGGACTCACTAATATTGACTTAAATAAGCCATCTGAAATCAAATGTTGCTTTACTATTACTTTAATTTAGTATTTTAAATAAGTGCATTTTGGTAGAGACTTTTATAAACTCTAAAAGTCTTGCTGACCTCAAACTGAAATGAAATGAGCAAATATTAATCTAGTTACAATACTGGCAAATTATAAAGAGAGAAGAACTCTCTAATATTGATTATCATAGCTCTAATAAACCATCTCAAAGTAAACAGTAATTAAAAGAAGAAATTCAGTGTAGTTAAACAAAAGGCTGTGACCAGTTTGCAGATGCAAAAAATCTGTTTTAATTTAGTTAAAACCTATAAAATGATAAATATTCATTCATTCATTTTTTTGTCTGCTTAGTCCCTTTATTAATCCGGGGTCGCCACAGCGGAATGAACCGCCAACTTATCCAGCAAGTTTTTTACGCAGCGAATGCCCTTCCAGCCGCAACCCATTTCTGGGAAATTATAAATATATTATATAAAAAAGAAATAGAGTGGGCGAGGCAGTGGCGCAGTCGGTAGTGCTGTCGCCTCACAGCAAGAAGGTCGCTGAGTCGCTGGTTCGAACCTCGGCTCAGTTGGTGTTTCTGTGTGGAGTTTGTATGTTCTCCCTTCCTTCGCGTGGGTTTCCTCCGGGTGCTCCGGTTTACCCCACAGTCCAAAGACATGCGGTACAGGTGAATTGCGTAGCCTAAATTGTCCGCAGTGTATGAATGTTTGTGTGGATGTTACCCAGAGATGGGTTGCGGCTGGAGGGGGCATCCGCTGCGTAAAAACTTGCTGGATAAGTTGGCGGTTTATTCCGCTGTGGCGACCCCGGATTAATAAAGGGACTAAGCCGACAAGAAAATGAATGAATGAATGAAAAAGAAATAGAATGTTATTGTTTGCTATCATTTATATTTTCCAAATGTACCTAAAAAAACACATGGGTCAGAATGTATGCATCCATATTGAATTGTATTTTAGACATCCAGTGTCAGATAGTAAAATAGATAGTCTTTAAATCTACCCCGCAGAATGATTTAAGATTGTAACTATTGATAATGTTTGCTGTGTTCAGGCTGTGTGTTATTTATCTGCATTCACGTCTCTCTCTCAGGCTCATTCCATTGCTGTTAGTCAGAGTGCTGGAGGTCTGGAAGGGGCTCAGATCACTCACAGTTTGGCTCTGGCCTATTCCTCCACTTCAGAGCCTCAACACAATGGTGACCTAATGCTTTCACAATAATCTCACAATACTGGGAGTTTATGACACTCTGAGCAATATTATTATATTAGGAAATATAAAATGTGAGCTGTCCTTTAGATAACTTAGATGTTTAGATGTTTTCATTCAAAGTTGTGAATTTACTTTATGTGCAAAATTCATATTTTGCAAAAACCTTTTGCAAACAAAACACAGTTTTCATTTTATGTGTTTAAAAGAACAAAAAATCATTACTTTTTGGAAAACTAGTGTGATACAGCAGGGAAAATAAGTATTGAACATGTCACCGTTTTTCTCTGAAAACTGATTGTTGGGTTGCTGTGTTGTTGACTTGAAATTTTCCCCTGGTGTTTGTAACAATCAAAGATATCCATGTATGCAAAGAAGACAAATCTAATTAGTTTACTAATTGAGTTATGCATAATAAAACGAAATGATGCAGGGAAAAAGTATTGAACACATGAAGAAAGGGAGGAGTAGAACAGCAGTGAAAACCCAGACAGCAGCTGATATCTCCTGGTAGTAGTAATGTAGCAATTCTTTGCCCTTTGTGATTGTAAATTAATATTAGCTGATTCAGTCCAACATCTTCATTAGGATGATGAATATGCAATCAGGGTGGACATTTCAGCAAGACAACGATGTAAAACTCAGCCAAGGAAACTCTTAAATGCTTTCAGAGAAAGAAAATCAAGCTGTAGAATGGCCTAGCCAATCACCTGACTTCAATCCAATAGAAAATATAAATTAAAAATCAGACTTGATATAAGAGACTTACAGAACCATCAAGATTTTTACACTTTGTTAAATCTGACTGACACCTGAGCAATTAACGTGATTTCATTTTCCATATGAAAGTTGTCTTTAAGCTGCCATCAACAAATGAGCCTTTTATATAAAGTATTCAAATCCTTTCAGTACTTCAGTACTTGTTTTACTTGTGTCATTTCATTATTACACAGAACTCATTTTTCTGATTTTTTTTGGTGTTTAATTATTTTTATTTTTGTATTGTTTGGGTTTTTACCAAAATCTTGTTCAAGTCCATGTCAACAGCTCCTTTAGAAATATTATTCCCAGAAAAAAACATGACGTCTTCAATACTTATTTCCCCACTGTATATGAATATTAAAAATAAATGATTAAATAAAAAAATGTATAAAAAAATAGTTGTATATAAGATTGCACCAGGCAACATTGAGGCTGGTTCTTTGAGGTGTAGGCTATTGGCCTTATTCTGCAATGTGGAAGTTCGCTCATGTTTGTGATCGTTTCAGAATTTCCGATTCAGTCGCCTATGGGCGGAATGGCTAGGAATAATAAACGGAAATGGTTTGACTACTTGCTCTACAAACAAGCGTGTTCATGACTAAGCATAAAAAGATGAATAATATAATAAGAAAACATCAGTTTGCAGCATAATGAGCTGTTTTAAACATCTAAAAATCAATTGAAGGGAATGAGACCGGAAATCTTAAGCCAAAAACATTCCAATGACTATGCCCGCTCGTACATGCAGAATAAGGTCATTATACTACAGAAAATTTGATGATGATAGAATTTCACTCATGTTTTGCAGAATTATTAAAACAATGTTTGAGATAGTGTGAAATGAGATGGTTTCCTGTTAATTCTAGTTATCCAATCACTGTTGATTGCTGTTGAGGCAGAATCTAACTTTACTTTCTTGATCCTCATCAAAATATTTATTCTGTAAACATGTTTATCCATTCATCTATTTATCAGATTAAAATGTATTCAACTCAATTTCTGTGTTGGGTAAAAAAAAAAGTAATAATTTGCTATTTGAAGCCTTACTCAACACTAAAAAAACAAAACAAAAATAGCATAAAATAACATACTTTTACATTTACTTGAAGAATAAAGTAAGAATTTTAGTTTTATTTACAGTCACTTAAGTTACTTTTTTCCCCAATACTGCTCAGTTGTCTGCAGATGTTTATTATGCACATTTTTACAATTTATGTGAATCTCTGTGTTTTTTTTATGCAATATCCTTAGCTAATGGCGGGGTTGTACAGTATACAAGTGTTTAGCAGGCAATACACAAGCACACCCGTTGTGTTACCTGTCCTGCATAACAAGTACACCAGTAGAGCTAAAGGTGACCTTCGGCTAATCAAATAGAAAACTTGACAGTATTGGAGTGGCTCTTCAATGGAAAGTGGACGCCTTGTATGAATACTACATTACTGTCATTATGTGCATCTCCTTTTCTCTTTCAGTAGATTTAGCAGCACGGTATTTTGAAGAGAGTATAAGTGCATATAGAAGTGCACTCGGCCCACAGGACAAACTCACACTGTCTGCTCAAGACGACTTCAGTCATTTTCTCCTACTCACAGGACAACACGAGGTCAGCTTCAACTCATCTTTGTAATCTGTGTAATATGGAACAGATGTGTTTTGTATTTGAAATATATAAAGTATGTCCTTCTTTAAGTTTTTTTTACATTATAAAGCGCATTTCTACACTGTAAAAAAAAAAAAAAAAAAACGTTGATTCTAATTAAAGTATTAAGGCAGCCAGCTTTAGGACATTTTTGAGTTTACTCAATTAAAATCGAATCAAGTGCAATGCTTGAGTTGAAAGTTGAGTCAACTCAAAAACGCTCTGCAGCTACAGTAGTTGCTTTACAATTTTGAGTTGAGTCAACTTTTTTTACTGTGTATATGCAGCCGAATCTATAGACAGACTGTTTTGACGCTGTTATGGATGCAATTAATTTCACAATCATATGCAAGGTGACTGAAATTGAAATGAAAAATTCTAAAGATACTGAGCCATTACTAGTTTAAAAAGTAAAAACAAAACAATTATAATTTAAGGGAGAACATTGCTATTTAAAAAAAAAACTGAACTGAACTGAAACTCATTTTACGTTAATTTTATTATACTTTTTTTTGAAGTAATGCGTTACTTACTCATTAATTTAAAAAGTAATACTATTGTTGTAATATTTCTTGCTTTAATTGTAATGCGTTACCCAACATTGTAAGTATACTAAATGTTTGCAGATTAAATTGGACATACAAAAATATATCAGTATAAAGATTTAAGTGACAATATTGTTACATGTTGTGATGATGCTACACAGTTGAGATTTGCAAGTATAAATGACAGTGGACTAGCAATCAGTATAATATATAAAAACCTAAAAAAACAAACAAAAGGTAAACAATAGTTTTAATTTTTTATTTATCATTTTTTATATTTTTAATTCAGTTAATCAAATGTAACAGTAAATATGAAAATAATAATAATGAGGGCAATTGTGGCGTAATGATTAGGAGTCAGGCTTGTAATCCAAAGATTGAAGGTTCGATTCCCAATAACATCAGGAATCAATGAGGGAAGTAAATGAATGGCGTGCGTACTCTCACTCATAATGTGTGTGTGTGCACATGGATGGGTCAAATACAGCAGACCAGTTTTCAAATATGGGTAAAAGCATACTTGACTATTCCTAATATATTTTCTTTTCATCAAATGCTGAAACTGAAACATAACTGTTCTGTACATTGATAATAGTAAAAACAATATTGACTACTATTTAGAATCTTGTAGGATGTATCATTTGTACACATTTTGGTATGTGTTTGCAGTTCTAATTGAATCCAAATGGGATTGGGGGTGGGTAATATTAACTGGATCTGCACTTCAGATTTCTAAACATCCTATAATATGGACATGCTATTTTTGAATATAATTTAGGATGGATAAATGTAGTCTATAAGCACTGTTGGTGTATTTACTGTGTGTTTTCAGAGATGTGCTGAGATCCAGAGAGAGTCTCTGTCCCTGAAGAAGAGCACGTTTGGTGAGCTCAGCACTGAGGTAGCAGAAACGCTGCAGCTGATTGGTGGAGTGGAGATGACACAGGGTCACATGAGACACGCCCACCGTACACTCAAGAAGGTGACTTAAATCATCATTCTGTTGCATTCATATGCTCGCATACACATTCATAGTAAAACATTTCTTTTTGCAGTCTAATAAATTTGGGATGAAATATAAATTGCTCTATTGATACTGTTGTGAATGAATCTCAATGAATCATTCATGCATTTACGTTTAAATTATTTTTCTTAGTTTGAAAAGTCGTAACTTGATCTTTCGTTAAAGCAGACCTCTTACTGGTGACGTATTTCAAACTTCCTTCTTACACTGTCCCAAACAGATGCAGAAAATGGCCATTTTTGTCCTTACAAGTTTTTTTAACGATACTTTTTTTTTGAGAGTGAGTAATTACTTAATGTTAGTGAGACATGTAATGTATTTATATAACGCATTTATTGTGTATGGCCATACACCCAATGTGCTTCACAATCATGAGGGGGTTTCTCAACACCATCAGCCAGTGCGCAGCATCCACTTGGATAATGCTATGGCAGCCACAGGACAACAGCGCCAGTGCGCTCACTACACACCAGCTATTGGTGGAATGAAGAGACAGTGATAGAGCCAATTCGGTGGATGGGGATAATTGGGAGGCCATGATGGGTAAGGGCCAATGGAGGGAATTTAGCCAGGACACCGGGGTTACACCCCTACTCTTTACAAGTGCCATGGGATTTTTAATGACCACAGAGAGTCAGGACCTCGGTTAAATATCTCATCCAAAATATGGTGTTCACTGACGGTATAGTGCCCCCTTCACTATACTGGGGCATTAGGACTCACACAGACACCCCCTGCTGGCCTCACTAACACCACTTCTAACAGCAACCTAGTTTTCCCTTGTGTTCTCCCATGCAGGTACTGACCAGGCTCAGCCCTCCTTGGCTTTAGTGAGTAACCGGTCTTGGGCTGCAGGGAGATATGGCATAAGTTTGAATATACTTTTTGTGAACTTTATTGTCGTAGTGATACCAATAATGCATGATACAAACAACAGTTGCTATAAATATATAAGGGAAAGAAAACATGAACGTAAATACTGTCAATCTAATATGAACAAACAATTATATGTTGAATTTTGGTATCAGTCACTCAGTATTTACTTTTAATCATGTTAAAATGGTTTAATATACTTTAATGAGATAATCTGCAATGTTTACAGTCCCCCAAATATGATCATCTTTGTGCAAAAGGCTTCTGTATGGTTTAATGCACATTGTGGTTTATACTTATTATTGCTATGAAAGTGTCATTTAATGAATTGGTCTGAAAATTATTTGCAGAATATTTAGTTTAATTATTTTAGTCAAATTGAATTAGTATGAATGTTTATTTTAGTCAGATTATTCATTTATTTTAATCAAATATTGGATTTTTTTATTTAATTCTTATTTATTGTTATATTTTTGTATTGTTTGATTATTTTAATCCAGTTTTTATATATTTGTTTATCTCTTTTGTTTAATTTATTCATTCATTTTCTTTTCGGCTTAGTCCCTTTATTAATCTGGGAATTAACCGCCAACTTATCCAGCATATGTTTTACGCAGCAGATGCCCTTCCAGCTGCAAACCATCTCTGGGAAACATCCATAAACACTCATTTACACACATACACTACGGACAATTTAGCCTACCCAATTCACCTGTACCGCATGTCTTTGGACTTGTGGGGGAAACTGGAGCACCTGGAAGAAACCCACGTGAACACGGGAGGAACATGCAAACTCCACACAGAAATGCCAACTGACCCAGCCGAGGCTCGAACCAGCGACCTTCTTGCTGTGAGGCGACAGCACTACCTACTGCGCCATCGCGTTGCCTGTTCGTTTAATTATATACCTTATGTCTTCTTACAGGACATTTATTTATGTTTTTTTCTCCAAGAGCCCAGCTTGAAAGACCCTGAATTAAAAAAGAAACTAAATATTATATTGCCATTGCAGTGCTCATATTGTGACAGATCCCTCCCACATGCTGTTCTGATTGGCTGTGATTTGTTTATTTAGTAATTTCTTTCTTCCTCACATCTAGTGTGGACAGACAAATTGCTTATCTCTGAAATCTTACTGCATCATGTGTGGTTAAGGATACATTGTTTCCCTTTTCATTTCTTTTTCAGTTTGCCACTTAATAGACCAAAACATCTGTCGCTACTTCCCTTTCATTGTGACAATAAACATGTATAACAGATTTGCTGAATTTGATCTACAAGGTATTCTGGCCTTATAAAATTAAATTGATCTACTATGGTTAATTTAGTTTGTTTCAGTAAGATCCTTCAACACAAGTTTTGACCAAAGTCTCAGAGGACTTTATGTCCACAGTGCTGTGCTCTAATCCTGGGGTGTAGCATGAGTGATATTTCCATGGCTCTTCCTAATATAAACCCATCCAAAGAATAACATTGTGTTCTGAGTCCTTCTGAATAAAGGCGGCTATTTTCATGGCCTTTGGAGTATTGCAGAATGCTATTAAAAGGGCACTGCACGACCTTCTACTAGACCTTTGAGAAGTCTCTTAAAGGGACAGTTCATCTAAAAATGAAAACATTTACTCGCACTCAAGCGGTTCCAAACTTCAGAGTTTTGTTTTTCTGTTAAACACAAAAGAAGACATTTTGAAGTTTAAGAAGAAAATGCTGTAGATATACACTGCTTAAAAAAATAAAGGGAACACTTAAAAAACACAATATTACTCCAAGTGTTCCCTTTATTTTTTGAGCAGTATATAATAGCCATTGACTTCCATAGTGAAAAAAAAATCATGGAAGTCAATGGCTACAAGTTTCTAACATTCTTTGAAATGTATAAATTCAAAATCAAACAAAAAGTGTTTCCGGGGTAGTCAATGTGTTGGTCCTCTTAGGATAAGGGATTCATAAAGATATATAATGAAATCATAAGTCCAAGGCACTCGAAAAAGTAAGTACATTTTTTTAAGGCCTTTATTATTATAGCCATTTTTTAAAAACAGCACCTTCACATTTCAGCAAAACTTGCCTTCATCAGGGTAACAGTGTGTCCAGAGTTCATTTGAACACTCTATGGTCACATAAACATAAGTACATGCAGCATGGTGCCTCAGTGGTTAGTACTGTCACCTCACAGCAAGAAGATTGAGGGTTCGAGTCCCGGCTGGTTCAGTTGGCATTTCTGCATTGGTATTTTCCAGTACTGATTTGTGGCTGAAAGGGCAACTTCTGCATAAAACATACTGGAGTAGTTGGCGGTTCATTCCGCTGTGGCGACCTCTGAAATAAGGGACTAAACCAATGAAAATGAATGAATGAATGAATGAATGAAAGAAGTACATAATATGCACATACATACATGCATACATATGTAACCCACCAGTCCTGCTGCACCCAACCCGTACTGAGCTGGGATCAAACCAACGATTCTTTGTATGAGAGTCGGTTCCTCTATCAAGGAGGCTAAAGATTGTGGCCTCTAGCGTCTGTTGCTAGAGCACCTTTTGAGGTCAGAGGAAAGAGGTTTACCTGCATAGCACTTCGCTAGCTGGTCTCTGTTACACTCACCCACCTAAACCTCACTCCCATCCCGGACGAGCCCCCACATGTAACTTACTGGTCCTATTGCATCCAAGCCGGCCTGAGCTGGGGTCGAACTGGTGATTCTTTGCATGGGAGTTGATTGCCCTAACAAGGAGGCTAAAGACCAGGACATTAGCGTCTGTTGCTAGAGCACCTTTTGAGGTCAAAAGAGTGAAGTTTACCTGCATAGCACTTTGATAGCAGGTCTCCATTACAATCACCCTCCTAAATCCTACTGCATCCAACCCGGTCTGAGCTAGGATTGAACTGGCAGTCAGTTGCACTAACAAGTGTCTGTTGCTAGAGCACCTATTGAGGTCAGAAGAGTCAGAAGAGCACCTTTTGAGGTCAAAAGAGTGAAGTTTACCTGCATAGCACTTTGATAGCAGGTCTCCATTACAATCACCCTCCTAAATCCTACTCCCATCTCGGACAGCCCCCTTGTGTAACTTACCGGCCCTACTGCATCCAACCCGGTCTGAGCTAGGATTGAACTGGCAGTCAGTTGCACTAACAAGTGTCTGTTGCTAGAGCACCTATTGAGGTCAGAAGAGTGAGGTTTACCTGCATAGCACTTCGATCCTTTACACATAGGTAGATTAAAATATCTTATGTCAGCAGGAAAAAAGAAACGATTTGTACAAAGACAGATTTGTAATTTTTGTGTAAACTATCCCTTTAACTTGCATAACATCATACGTTAATGTCATCGCTCTGTTATTTTCGCATTGTTTGTTTTGGTAACTTGAATATAAAGGGCGTCACTATTTTTGCACTGGATGGTGTTATTCTCTGTCCCTCGGTGTTCTGCTGCAGGAGTCTCCGCACACCCCGCTTATTTATTCTCATCCATGTCATCCGATGCAGTAAGATGTAAAACATTATCCATTTCACTTCCCCTCCGAACGTCTCCAGTGTGTTCTAAATATGCAAGTGACTTTCAGTTTATTTTAATATGGTCACACAGAACCCACCCCCCAGCATGAGATAACACCATGATGTTGATTTCTGGAAACCTGTCTCCGCTTGTCGGTAAATGAGCGCTGTTGCTATGTTTTGTTTGTTGTGGTATCGAAGGGCTCGGTTTCTGGGCTTGTGAGTCAGTGGTCTCCCGCTCTGCTAACCTTTCCCCGTCACCTCTGACAGATACCAGCAGCTCATATCATATCATGTTCTTCCTCCTCCTGCAATCATGAAAGCAGCTGCTCCAGAGCAACACACTCCAAGTTTAGACCTGGGCCTAAAGCCAGGGGTTTTGTGGTTAAAACTGCAACAGGGATTAAAAACTGTGACATATCTTATACTTGTTTTAAATTAGTATCATGCAGTCTTAAGATGCATTAGCTGCTTTTTATAAAAACGCACACACTTTTGAGTGACTGTGACTTTTTCCTGTTGAAGCGGGCCCCATTACATCATTTCTGCCTGTGGAAAGTGATGAAAACATGGAGTTTTTTCAGTCATGAAGGAAACACTGAACACTACTTTCCTTTGTTCCTTTGTCTTTTACTTTTGGAAGGACTGCTGTCATGTCGTCATTTTGAGTGTTTTTCTTTCAAAGCCTTGCTGTTGTTGTTTTGAAGAGTCATCGAGTGATTGAGCGGGGGTTTATTTGAGGAAATGAAGTGGCTTGGCCAGGTATTGCTGGAATATCTGTGTGCCAGAGACACTCCTCTTCTTTACTACATCTGTGAAATCAGAGTCAAGCCTGCAGTTCCTCCTGAGCCCCACACTCAGAACACTATACTTTTCTATTTTAACATATACAAAATTAAAAGGCTCAGTACATGTAATTTGTTGCATTAAAATATCCAAAAACTACTAGAACAGTGTTATTTTGCGGCACTGTAGGACACTATACAACAAAAAGTCATGACAACAAACGTTTTTAAACTTATTTTTATAAGTTAATCAGGTTTCATTTGTTTAGTTTTACACAGTTTAATTTAATATTTTTAGCCATTTTGGTTGTAAGTTAAGACCTAGAGTCCTCGAAAAGTTCATTTGATTCAATAAAAAATTTTAGACAGCAAAAATAAAAAATTAAATAAAAAATATTGTGACTTGTGTACTTATTGCTTCAGCGTTCTCGTTTCATTTCCACGGCTTTCAGCCTTACTCTGCTTCATAGTACCATGTGTTAAATACTTTAGCTCATTCATGAATATGATTTCTGCTGGAGTCCCCATAGGATGTAATGAAGACTACAACTCCCACGATTCCACACTCATGGCGTCATTAAACTACGCCTTTATTTGTTGTAAATACTGTTGGGGATTCAGCCCAAAAAATGTGTGTCAGGTAAAAAAGATTTAAGCAGCTATCTTACCAACAGGGCTTGGCTTCTGCTTGATTTAATGAATCTGCAAACCATCCTCAAGACCAATCCAGTTAGGGTCAGGTTTTTCTTTGGGTTGTTCCTGGTGCATCATTGATCAATCAACATCACCCTGATATATTTATATGACTTTAGTAGCCACTACTATTTAATGGATATCTATTCAAATGTTGTTTTTATTTAATTCCTTCCCTATTAAACAGATCTACTCTATTCTAAAGGAGGGTCTGCCTGCTCGTCTGTTGAAGTAGTAAGCAGTAATGAAACAATAAAACTCTCAGAGTTCATTTTGTCAATACTAAATACAAAAACCAGTCCGAGTTTTAATCATGAACATGTTTTTCAAGCCTCTTGCACACCCTTCAACTGAGTAGCTTAACTCTGGGTGGAATAGGTATCTTTCATTTACATTTATCCGCATTTGTTATCGTTTTTGGTGTACTGTTAAAACTCACCAGCTACTATAACTTTACTGGATATCACACTAATCACTGGTGTCTTTCATATATATCTGAATGAGTATCCCGTTTTGTGTTACTAACCACTACTGCACAGACAATCCCTATTCTATAATTTATTAAATCTTCCTACCCTTATTTCTGTAGATTGACTAATCATTTTCCACATTCTCCACCAAAAACTCTTTGATAAATATTAACCCTTTAGTGGCAAAAATGACATTTACATACTGTTTACCATACATACCGTGCATTTAAACCAAATGTTTTATAGTTTCGCAAATGCAGGCAGTTTTGACTGCATGAAGCCCTTTGTTGTGTAAAATCCTTTCATGTCATCATTAAAATGGTGATTATCCTTTTTAAAAAAATCTTTATTAAAACTAGTCAGGGAGTCTGTGTTTAATTGTGTTTACTTTAAGTTTTATAGTCATAGAATATAGTCATGGGATACTACTTCCAGGATGGTTGTTCAAGAAGTAAAATGCTACACTCTGCGTCAGTTAAACATTAAAACAATTGAAAAAAGCATTAAAAGAACTGTAAAACTTTCATTTATTCATTTTCTTTTCGGCTTAGTCTCTATTAATCTGGGGTCACCACAGCGGAATGAACCGCCAACTTATCCAGCATACGTTTTATGCAGCGGAAACATCCATACACACTCATTCACACACATACACTACGGACAATTTAACTTACCCATATAACACATGCCCTATGAGTTTTTTATTTATTCATTTTTTGACCTGTGGGGAAACTGGAGCACCCGGAGGAAACCCACATGAACATGGGGAGAACATGCAAACTCCACACAAAAACATTAATTGACTCGGCCGAGGCTTGAACCAGCAACCTTCTTGCTGTGAGATGAAACTGCTACCCACTGCGCCACTGTGCAGCCCATTGTTGAACTTAAGCCAGAAAAATAAACATTCCCCCCAAAAAAGTGTCATCATTTACTCATCCTCCACTATTTCCAAACCTGTTTATGTATCTTTTAAATTTTGGAAACCAGAAGCCATCGACTTCTTTAGGATTATTTTCCCTACTGTATTAAAGTCAATGCTTCTAGTTTCCAACATTCTTTAAAATATCTTCTTTGGTGTTAAAAAGGACACAGAAACTTCTAAAAGTTGGAGGCTGAGTAAACAGTCATTTTGGGGTATTTAAGTATTTGCTTAAATCCAAAGTGTCTTTATAAATCCGGCAGTGTATATTTAACATACTTTCAGATGGTGCACACTGTGTGACATCATGGCCTCCCAGATGTTTTGTCAACCACTCGTATCCTTTTTGTTTTTCAGTGTTTTGAAATTCAGAGTCTGCTGTATGGTCCTCAGCACAAGAAAACCAAAGCCACTCAAAGAAGCGTGGACATGCTGTCTCAGTGAGTTTCCTTTGCTAGACATTTACACTAGCAGGAAGTCTAAAAATGTGCTTCCAGTGCAATACACACTGACATTTCACCTGAACATAGTGTGCTAGTGGAAACGAATATTATTTATAAATGAGGCATTCAATGCTTTATGGTCTTTTTCTAGGTCGCCAGAGGTGAGTGAGAGACGTAAAGCAAGCCGCGTTGAAACAAGGCCTCCGTTCTGTGCAGTGGTTGCATTTGCATCTGAGGTGACATCTAGTCTGTCTAACTCGTAACAACAGTGACCAGCAGGCTGATCTAATGAATGCGGCATAGGCTGTCAAGGATGTTTGACCTCATCCTTTTTCACCCAGGGAAATCTGTGGGCTGGAAAAGAATAAGGCAATATTCCTCGAACAGCACACAAGCTCTGCTGTGTCTTTAATGTGAGTTGCTGAGTCTCAAAGTGGTTGGCAAGGTGACTATATCTCCAGTTCAGAAAATGAGAACGTCCAACAGTGATCTAATACACCGTCACAGTGGTTTTCTGCAAACACTCCTTGACTAGAGAGTTTTCTTATTTCTGAGAATTGCTGAAATGTGTGAGAAATGTGTGTGAAATGTGAGCTTTCAGGGTTTATTTATTGTTTGCATATAAACCAGTGTTCAAACAGTGAACAGACTAGTCTTTTTTAAAAAGTAAAACAGCACACAAAGCACCCTTTTTCTTTGTGAATTTTTATTTAAAAACAACTACATCTGTTACCTGACAGCCCAAACCGTATATCTGTAAAAGAGGTTTCACACAGTGTTGGTTGAGTCATAAAAGCCTATACATAGTTTATAAGTGCTAAAACTCCACCTCGAAAGTTAAGGGATGCAGGTAAACGTGACCCTGGATTAATTTTTTGGAAATAGCCCAAAATATACTGTAAAAAAACATAAGGATATAATTAAAGATCATGTTCCATGAAAATGTTTTGTAAATGTCCCACTGTAAATATATCTAACTTCACATTTTTGATTGGAAATATATCGTGCATCCAAGAAGTATTCATAGCCCTTACAACCTTATTCCAAAATAGATTAAGTTCATTTATTTCCTAAAACGATCCCTGCAGTGAAGCATAATAGTGGCAGCAGCATGCGGTGGGGATGTTTTTCAGCAGCAGATACTGGAAGACTAGTCAGGATAGAGGGAAAGATGAATGCAGCAATGTACAGAGACATCCTGAATGAAAACCTGCTTCAGAGTGCCCTTGACCTCAGACTGGGGTGACGGTTCATCTTTCAGCAGGACAATGATCCAAAGCACATCAGCAAAGTATCAATGGAGTAGCTTCACAACAACTCTGTGAATGTACTTCAGTGGCCCAGCCAGAGCCCAGACCTAAATCCTATTGAACATGTCAGGAGACATCTGAAAATGGCTATAGTGTACACCGTCACTTCCCATCCAACCTGATAGAGCTTGAGAGGTACTGCAAAGAGGACTGGACAAAAATTCCTAAAGATAGGTGTGCCAAGCTTGTGGCATCATATTCAAAAAGACTTGAGACTGTAATCGCTGCCAACAAAGCATTGAGCAAAGGCTGTGAATACTTCTGTACGTGTGATTTTTCAGCTTTTTTATTTTCAATAAATTTGCAACAAATTCAAAAAATCTTTTTCACATTGTCATTATGAGGTACTGTGTGCAGAATTTGGAGGAAATAAATGAATGTAATCTATTTTGGAATAAGGCTGTAACATTAAAAAATGTGGAAAAAGTAAAGCGCTATGAAGACTTTCCAGATGCACTGTATACTGCTAAGAACTTAATATGGAAACTTTAAAGGGGATTTTCTCAATATATGAACCTTCAGATAACAGATTTTGAAATAGTTTTATCTAGGCCAAATATTAGTCTAACATAACAAACTATACATCACTGAAAAGCTTATTATTCAGCTACTAGATGATTTAATAAACAAAAAAATATGTATACTTGATGTCTGGAAATGGTTAATGATATCAATATTGAATCAATTAATAATATTGCGGTAACACTTTACAATAAGGTTCATTAGTTAATGCATTTACTAACATGAAGTAATCATTGACAACACTTGTACAGCATTTATTAATCATAATTGAACATTTACTAATGCATTATTAACATCCAAGTCCATGCTTGTCAACATTAGTTAATGCACCATGATTTAACATGAACTTACAATGAACTACTGTTTTTTCATTAACTAACGTTAACTAACATGAACAATTACAGTAGTAGATGTATTGTTCATTGTTTGTTCATGTTAGTAAATGCATTAATTAACATTAACTAATGAACCTTATTGTAAAGTGTGACCAATATAACTTATCTGTTAACACAGTATTTCCCAACCGTTTTGTGTTATGTCAAATATCCCTTCATCAACACAAACCAAAAATGTTTCTTTTATCTGGTAATATACTAATGTAAGTGCTTTAATGATACCACTAAAGTCACTTAAAGGGATCATGAATTGAAAATTAAAAATATCTTTTGACGTACAAGAGGTCATAATACTATAAAAACATCCTGTTTCAAAACTCAAAACTTACTTGTTCATCCAAAAACAGCTGTCAGTGGATCCAAGCTTCCAAAAAGACTTGTTTCAGATTTTCTCAAAGGAGTAGCAAAAGTCTACTTCAACATCACTTCCTCTTAAGGCTTGCCTAACAGTTCCCACAGGTAGCATAGGTGAGTATTAATAAGAGAGATGAATATAAGATGCTATGCATTGTCAAAATGCATTTGTGTTTGTCTATTTTATTTCCAATATTTTTTTTTAAACAAGGCCCATGAAGTCGGTTTTTCAGAGTGACTGAAAATAAAAGAGCAAACTCATCACTATGTAAGAAACAATGCATGTGTCAGTATTTGCTTGCCTGTTTTAGATTGTTTGTTATGCAGAACATATTTATTGCTTATTGACAAAGTGACCTATACCTAGGCCCACACGGAATCTGCGCACGCAGAATTCCGCAGATTTTCTGCAGATTTCTGCAGATTTTTAGCCCATTATTAATTCTGTTAATTTACTTGAGTAAATGTGTAAATCTGAATTTATTCAGTTTTTATTCAGTAATTTATTACTTTTTATTTAATATATTAAGGTTTTAGTTATGATACTCTGCTGGACACTCCCAAAATAATTCCGCAGAAATCTGCAGATTTTTACCAAAACTCTCCGCAGAAATAGCAAAAAACGTCTGCAGATTCCATCTGGCCCTGCCCATACCTTATTTTAATATAAAAACAGTTCTCTCCAACATAGGCTCATTCTGAAAGCATAGCCCTATGCACATTTCTGGAGATGGCGAACTATGTAACCAGTCTTTAAAACGAACGCTACGAGGGGGTATGATGCTGTTCCTTTTCTCTCTTACCAGCTGACCGCTTACTGTACCTCCATATGGATGGCTTTTTTGCTTTTACCAGTTTGTCTGATAGCTCGAAATGTATGTCAGCGGACTTGAGACGCAGAGCTAGTTGACCATGACAACGGGGTTCGAGTCCGATGAAGAACAGTTTCAGAAGCAGGTAGTACATAACTAAAAATAAATATAAAATAAATAACAGGGTGAAATGAAGTAAAATCTGAAAACGTGGTTTTCTTTTTCTGGATTGCTTTTTATTTTTACGTTTGGGGAAGTGGGTGGGCGGGTCAGTCGGGTCTTTTTGAAACACTATGAGTTGGGTTTAGGAAAGAGGGAGGGTGGGTCAGTTGATCTTTCAGTCAGTCAGTCATTCAGTCAGTAGACAGGCAGTCGACAGCAGCCTCTGGTGGATTTACGTGAGAACAGCAGGCGGGAAAGGCACTCTCGGGAGAAATTTGAGATCTGAAAAAGCGCCCTCTGGTGGATTCGCTTAAACAAAAACTGCAAAAAACGTACCTCCTGGGATGTATTTTGCTCTCCCCAGAAATGTATATGGGGGTACTGTAAGTAATCAGAATGAGCCTGGGTTGGTTTTCTCAGCAGTGGCTGTTTGTTTGAAAGTCTTGAATGAAACACACTTGTCAAAAATTAATTTCAGAAAGAGTTTTAAATACAGGATAGAAAATAGCTTATTACCTCTACATTGTTTTGTTTTTTAAATATATATAAAAATCTAGCAAACATTATAAGCAGACCCCAGAAAACAACACACTGTAAAACTTTTAAATGCAGATCATGACCATTTCAAATGTGAAAAATGTAAGTGAGTTTCAATGAAATTCAATGTAAAAAAAGCACAGTAAATGAAATTAGGCACCACTGATTATTATTTGGTTTTAAACTTTAATAAAGTACAATCAAATGTATCCCAACTTGTTTAAGAAACCCTGGGATTACTGTGTTAACATTGAAGATCTCTCTCTTTTTAACATTTCTAATTGACCTTTTTCTTTTAATGTAAGTGCGGAAGAAGCCATTTGAACTTCATTAGTTCAAGACTTCCGGTCTCATTCACTTTCAGTCGTAAAAACAGCTTGTCAGGCTGCAAGCTGATGTTGCAAAATTGTGTTTTCTTATTTTATTTTTATGTATTGTATATTGTATATTCATAAACACAATTGTTTATAGAGCAGGTAGTTTGACTGTTTATTGCCGTTTAATATTCCTAGTGATTTCCTCATAGGAAAATGAATCGGAGGTTCTAAAACAATCTCAGAGAAGAGCTTACTTTCGCATTGCAGAATAAGGTCAATTGTTCTCTTTTTTTGGTTTCTAAAATAGATAATAATATGAACATGAAACGTTAAATGATATAATGACTTTTCATAATAATTCAACATGCTTCCTCATTCTACAAACACCATCACCATGTTAATAGGCACAGAACAGACATCATTTTAGCATCTGATAACAGTACGTTTAGTATGTAGAAAAATAGAAGGAAACGCACATGAAGCTGTTACACTATTTTACCTGGTGTTTTCAATGGCAGAGTATGAATCCTAAGAATAGACTCTTATTAGACTAGCTGAATCCTCGTTCTGCTAATAGAATGTGACACAGACTTAATAGCACCGTATAGCTATTCTGGAAGCACTTACACACTTGTGTGTAAGCTGCCTAGCACTTATTTTTAATGTGAGATTCCTGTGATCACACCCCCCCTCCCTCTCTTACTGTCTCTGCACAGTATACCAGAGAATGAAAAATGTGTCGTCCTGGAAGAGCAGGATTGCTAGATTAGTCCTCGCTGGTCTAATGTCATTTAAGGATTAAGAGATCTCTGGGAGACAGTAAGGACAATCTAGTGCTTCTCGCTCTAGGTACAGCTAAATACTGACTCTGGCCAAAAGACAGACCACACAACATCCAAGTGTGTGACTAAACAAATTTGTGATCCTATGAATAATAGCAATTAAAGAGAGCGCTATGTTACAATTTCTGCATACATCTATGCATTATTTAAACTTTTATTTAACATGTATTTCATTAAAAAAAAGCTTTTTGCTTAATGCCATGGAAACTAAAAGCACAAAACCATACTTTAACAAACTGTGCGTTTAGATAAAGTCCACAGTGTATATTTCTTTGAAAGATGATTGAAATGAAAAAGAAATAAAATACTGCAGTTATTTTTTTTCTGAGCTTAGTTAATTAAAGCTGCATCATAGTAAAAATGAAATAAAATGTCCAGGTAATTAATGATGAACATATATATAAAGAATGAATCAAAATGGAGTAATAAAATGATTCGCTTTAGCTTTTTTAACACATTAGCTAAGTCAGACACAAAATTTGGGGGTTGTTAAAATTGAACATTTTTCCAGGCAATATGAAAAAGTTCTTATTAATGTTGAGAACTTAGACGTTCAAATGAACAGCCTTAACTTGAAATGTTGTAAAAATACCCTCTTTTATTTTTATCAATATAGTTATAACTTGCTTAATAACATTACTTTCTTTTTTTAAATGTTACTGAAACCCCAAACCTTTGAACATCAGTGTATG